AGTCCAAAATCAAGGTGTCAGCAGGGCCATGTTCCTTCAAAGACTCCAGAGAGGCCTTCCTGGCTTCTGGAGGTTGCCGGCAATCCTTGGCATTCATTGGCTTGTAGCTGTATCATTCCAATCTCTGCCTTCTTCACACGGCTGGCTTCGCTTTGATTGTGTCTGTGTGTCTGTCTCTGTGTGTCTTGTTATAAGGACACCAGTCATTGGATTTAGGGCCTATACTAATCTAGTATGGCCTCATTTTGACTTGATTACATCTGTAAAGCCCCTGTTTCCATATAAGGTCACATGCACAAGTACCAGTCATTAGGATTTGGACATACCTTTTGGGGGGATACAATTCAACCACTACATATGATAACAATAAAACCCAGCCCAAGTTTACAACTGAGGCTTTTGCAGCTTAGACATTGTCTAAAGTGTGTGCATATTTGGGGTGGAAGGAAGGTGGAAAGATTGGCAAGCAGAACTCATGTGGTCAGTTATTGGTCTTTTTAGCTAAGTGTGCCAGTTGCTTCCTATACATCCTGTTGTGTCAAGACAGATGTTCAGTTTGGTACCTGTTTATGACTAAAGACTGATCCTTGGCTAATGATTAAGGAACCTTGCTAATGTTTAGTTGGCAAATAACTATGCATGGCACATCTATTTAACCTTTCTTTCAAGAGTTCATTATTGTAAGATTCTCTGTGTTGACGCCCTAAACCAGAAGAGTATGATTGTTGAGCTTACAAAATGCCTGGTATACTGTTATGTGAAAAAGAAAGGAAATTAGTATTTCTTGAGTACCTGGTATGCATTAAGGCTTTCTATAAATTATCACATTAGGTCCTCCTGGCACCCATCTGAGGTAGGCATTATTGTGATTACTCCTGTTTTATAGAAGAGAACCGTTAGCTGGCCAGGGCTCACGCTGCCAGGAAGTCGTGGGACTAGAGAGGAAACAGGAGCAGGGTGTGTGGGTTTGCTACCTTATTTCCTACTTTAAATAGAATGTAGTGTTAATTTAAAAAATGGAAAATGGAAAATAAATGTTGGTGGGTATATGGAGAAATTAGAACCCTCGTACGTTCATGGTGGATATGTAAAATTGCACAGCTGCTGTGGAAAACAGTCTGGCAGTTCCTCAAAATGTGTAACATAGAGTTATGACCAGCAATTCCACTCCCAAGCATATACCAAGAGAGTTGAAAACATGTTTGCACAAAAAATTGTACATGAATGTTTGTAGCAGCATTATTCATAATAGCCAAAAGGTGGCAACAATTCAAATGTCTACCATATGATGAATGAGTAAATAAAATGTGGTATATTCATTCAATGGATATTCAGCCATAAAAAGAAATGAAAGGTTGATGTACACTACAAAATGGATGCACTTTGAAAACATTATCCTAAATGAAAGAACCAGATGCAAAGGACCACATATTTTATGATTCCATTCATATGAATTATTCAGAATAGGCAAATCCATGCAGACAGAAAACAGATTCTTGGTTGCTGAGGGCTTGGGGGAGGCAGGAATGGGGAGTGACTGCTTAATGGGTACAGATTTTCTTTTGGGGTGATAAAAATGTTCTGGAATTAGATGGTGGTGATGGTTGCACATTTGTGAGTACACAAAATACCACTGAATCGTACACTTCTAAATGGTTAAAATGGTAGATTTTTTTTTTTGTCTTTTTCATGACCGGTAAGGGGATCGCAACCCTTGGCTTGGTGTCGTC